AGTAAAACCCGAACATTTTGAAAAATTCAAAATAAATATTTCTACTCGTCGTATTCAAACGAAATTTTGTACACAAAAGCGCTTGAATACAAAGAGTATTTTACACATATAGCCGTTCCGCAAATGACGAAAAGTTCAAGGGATATTCAAGATTTTGTGGATATGAAATTTAGAATCTTTGGTCAAGCGGTGAGTATGATTGTTTGGGTTTGTGTAATGTTTTGACGGCACTTGACCCCCCGTTCGAAAGGTTATTTTGTGAGGATTTCAATGGTGGGTTTTATTTAAAAGGGGGGTCAATACTCGCCGAGATATTTATACTAGAACGATTGGGTCGTAATATGATGCGAATGGCTTGTGACCGAAAAGAGTTAAACAAAAAAAGGCTGATATTTAACTTTGATATTCATAAAATGAAAAAATGTGGAATGAAGTTACTTCGAAATATGTAACGTTATACTATGCATGTCTACTAAAGTTAAGTTGTATGGCTTCATCAAAGGAGTCTCCCACACCTTACATTTGTAAAGTTCTGGCCAATTTTGAACCATTTCCTTTAGTAACTCTTGTGAAAAATTATCTGATTCTCCCACCCCTCTGGGGAAACGTTTGTGTGTTCCAGAGGGCAATATGCCTGGAAAGAGTAAAACCAAACGAGGTAAACAAGGAAAGAGAAAAGGGCCAAAAAAGTCATTGTTTACTGATGTGGAAAACCAAAGATGCGACCCGAATTCAATTGCATATAGCAACTGGACAACTAGTGAAATAACGGCGTTGGTGCAACACATTTGTTTGTTTTGGGAGGGAGCACACTTAGACAAGTGGCCAACAATGAAATGCACAGAATTCTGGAATGAATGCGCTTCGTCTGTGAATAAAATATGCAATACTTCTCGAACAGGTTGGTTTAAACTTGAATACATTGTTTTAATGACTGAATTCTTCCTTGGTTTTGTATTAAATGTGCCTTGTTTAGCTTACTGTTTAATGATATTTGCTGTGTTGGTGTAATGCACCCAGATGAATAAGATGCTTGTGTGATGTTACTCTTAGTGTATATCCACACCGGGAAGGCCTTGAAAAATATGCCTGGCCACGGTGGGATTTGAACCTACGACCTTTGGAATACTAGCAGAGTAACATCACACAAGCATCTTATTCACCTGAGTACATTACACCAACACAGCAAATATCATGATTATTAGATTACACTGATATCGAAGGAACTAGACTCGGTTCCGAAATATTGTATACTCGAACTGACCTGACCGCGTAGCTCAGTTGACGTAGCATTGGGCTAGTATTCCAAAGGTCGTAGGTTTGAATCCCACCGTGGCCAGAAATATTTTTCAAGCCTGCCCAGTGTGGATATATACTCAGAGTAACATCACACAAGCATCTTATTGTTTAATGTTATATTTTTCTGCAAATTTTGTCTATAAATAGTAGTTTTGCATTATATAGCTTTTACTATTTCCCTTTTTAGGCTCATCATGTCGAACAATTGTCACAAAGCATTTGAATAAACAATTTAAGACATTATCAGAAGCAGAGGATTTCTATGATATTGATTATATTTCTGAACTGACATATTCCGAAGCAAATAATGGCACTTCAACTCCTTTAAAGCAATTCATTGAGGAAATTTCACCATGTTTATCGCCAATTTTTAGTTCTTCACCCATGAAAGAATCAAAGTTGTCTTTAGGAGATACTATAAAGAAGTTTGTAACAGCATTTACCACTGTTATGTCAGAACGTCTTCAAAAGCAGATTTTGCAATATTTATATCAGCATATCATTGTAAGTTCTAGTGGCAATTGCCTTCTACTCATTTGTCGAACATGATTTTCTGTGGAAGAGCCTTTCAGCAATGAAAGTGCTTCATATTGAGGGTAAACACAACCTGCTATATCATCTTAGCCATTGTTTCTTATCCGAAGAGGAAAATGGCTCAACATGTATGCCGCTGAATAGAATGCCTTATGGTTTGATTGATTATAATATCGGGTTTTTCTCCTCGGCATCTTCTCAAAAACTAGGTTTGGAGGAACATTATGCTATGTGGCTTGAAACAATGCTTGCACATTTCGGACAGAAATGGCTTTGTCTATTTAGTGGGCCTTGTTGGCAATATGAGTTAAATGATGATTCCCAGCAAACACCACATATAGAAATCCCATCTGTTTCAAATGGTGTCCCATCAAGCTCAAATGAAGAAATCCTTGATTGTTGGAATGATAAAATCACAGCAAGCTCGGGAAATGCAATCCAACCAAGTTCAAATAATGAAATTCCACGTAGCTCCAATGCAGAAATTCAATTTAACTTGATTGCTGAAAGCTCATCTGTATTGAGTGATGAAATCCTTCCAACCTCAATTGGTCAAAACCCACCAAGCTCAGATAATGAAATCCCAGCAAGCTCAAATGATGAAATTTTACATAGCTTGAATGCTGAAATCCCACAAACCTCAATTGGTCAAAACCCACCAAGCACACATAATGAAATCCTTGCAAGTTCGAGTAATGAAATCCCCGCAAGCTCAAATGATGAAATTTTACATAGCTTGAATGCTGAAATCCCTCAAACCTCAATTGGTCAAAACCAACCAATTACAGATGATGAGATCCAATACAATGTAAATGGCAAATCGGCATCCATCATTGCCAATGCACTGAAGGATTGTTCTTTGGATTTAATCAATTACTCAAATGATTATCAAAAATGTCTTTCTGAAATCGATGACATTGACTTTCAATTAGAAAATTTTTGTTGTTTGGTGGATAATGGTGATAATGGTAATAGTGAAGGTGCACATGCTCTGGAGAATGACAACCCCATCCAGCAGGATCATTCAATTCAAAAATCAAGCAAAGCTATTTAGATTGATGTCCAGTACCGACGAAAGGAGTCAAATGGAAAAATCGCAATTCAGATTGATGAAATCGTTCTATTCGTAAAACATTGAACCTGACACTATTTTCTTTGCATTTGAATAAAAATGCACACCAATTAATTCTATTCAACAACACATAGTCAAATGGATCGAATGGACACCAATTAATTCCATTCGACAACCCACAGTCAAATTATGGTGGGTAACTCCATGGGCATTAAGCATCCAAGCAAGGCCAGTCAGATGGATCGAATCGATCGATTCGATCGAATGGACACCAATTAATTCCATTCGACAACCCACAGTCAAATGGTGGGCAACTCCATGGGCATTAAGCATGCAAGCAAGGCCAGTCAAATGGATCGAATCGATCGAATGGACACCAATTAATTCCATTCGACAACCCACAGTCAAATTATGGTGGTTAACTCCAGGGGCATTAAGCATGCAAGCAAGGGAAGTCGAATGGATCGAATCGATCGATTCGATCGAATGGACACCAATTAATTCCATTCGACAACCCACAGTCAAATGGTGGGAACTCCAGGGGCATTAAGCATGCAAGCAAGGCCAGTCAAATGGATCGAATCGATCGATTCGATCGAATGGACACCAATTAATTCCATTCGACAACCCACAGTCAAATGGTGGGTAACTCCAGGGGCATTAAGCATGCAAGGAAGGCCAGTCAAATGGATCGAATCGATCGATTCGATCGAATGGACACCAATTAATTCCATTCGACAACCCACAGTCAAATGGTGGGTAACTCCATGGGCATTAAGCATGCAAGCAAGGCCAGTCGAAATGGATCAAATCGATCGATTCGATCGAATGGACACCAATTAATTCCATTTGACAACCCACATTCAAATGGTGGGTAACTCCATGGGCATTAAGCATGCAAGCAAGGCCAGTCGAATGGATCAAATCGTTCGATTCGATCGAATGGACACCAATTAATTCCATTTGACAACCCACAGTCAAATGGTGGGTAACTACATGAGCATTGAAACAGATGTTTACAGTAAACATACCTACACGCACTTTGTTTCGAATAACATTTAGTTTTATATATATGTGGAATATAGTTGTGCAGTAATATTTAAAAACATACCAAGTCCAAAATTTCGGGCTTGATT